ATCCATCCATCCATCCATCCATCCATCCATCCATCCATCCATCCATCCATCCATCCATCCATCCATCCATCCATCCATCCATCATTTTTTACCTGCTTCTTCCTTTTCAGGTCGCGGGAGTCACTGGTGAATATCCAGCAGTTATTGTGTGAGAGGCGGGGGACACTGGACAGGTCTCGAGTCAATCACAGGGACACAGACAAACAACCATTCACGTTCTCATTTATTTATTTATTTATTAGTTCTTTTGGGTAAAAATGACTATCAGCAGTTAGGCATAAATTATATACATTTTATTTTGTATCACAGATAAACTGAAAAATAAAGGCATGGCAAAAAAGAACTTGCACAACAAATAATGTTTTACAAGGAAGTGAAAATACATAAATAAAAAGGATCCTGAGCATCTTCACAACAGACCTTGATGATACATCAGATATACCATGAATACTAATTTATATTATGTTAATACAAAATGACAATTCACATACATTCCTAAATGAGAACTTATGTTAATTTAAGGTACTAATCATTACTTTTCATTATAACTACCTTAAACATTTATATTAAGCAATAAGAGATTTGCTGAATTTCAATAAGACTTTTCTCTGAAACAAAGAACATTTGTGATGCTGACACATAAGTGCAACGTGCAAGATGCTTTTTATTGTTTTATACAAGTTTTCTATCATGTGGAATGCTTTTATTCACTTGTTTCTTTTTCTGATTTTCACAAAAACACCATTTTTGGGTCCTAGATTACCAGAAGACTTCAAGTCAAGAGGAACCTGAAAGAAAAGAAAAATAAATAAAATAATCTGTTGCCCACTTTTGCTTATCTGTTTATTCAAAGATTTTGTTGATAATTAGATGTTAAAGTACTTAACAGATAAATAATAAAACTTCAGTTCAAAAAAATTTTTTTAATTGTTTTTGTTGTTTAATAAAATCATTGACACATATACAGTGTATGAAACAAGATGCTGATATGCCAAATTTAAGATAATAAATGTGCATAGATACTTTTTAGACCAAGTAAGCAAAACAAAAGTAAGACTTTTTTCATTTTTCATTCAACCTTTATTTAGACAGGTTAATCCCATTGAGCCTCGAGGACTCATTTACAAGAGAGACCTGATTTCAACAAAGAGTGATGACAACAATGGACAATCATAAAAGAGGCATACAGATTTTTTTTTAAACAAATTCAAATGAGATGGGGGGAAAAAAAGTAGCAAAATCCACTAGATTACAAGGCGAATGTAGAAAACTAAAAATAGGAACATGTCTGCATTGGTTCTTGCCAGGAGTCCAATAGATTCTTAAAGCCACTTAGGTTGTTTTCACAGCTGATAATCCGGTAGACTCGGTTCGGTTGGGGACCAATATTCATAACATTTTGTTTACATTTGAGCTGGTGCGTTTGCATTCACACTGCACTGTGCAGTCGAGTCAAATTGTTGAACCAACCTATTCCTCCACTCGCCCGTGGTGGCGCTGCACCAAGAACTACTGAAAGAAACTATACAAAAACCAATGAAGAAGACACGTCTTCTTCTTCTTCTGGAAATAAAAACAAAAACAGAGTGGTGTCAAATTTTAGCTGTTTTAGGAGTTCTATTTTGTCATTTTTCAACAATGGACTCAGCATGAGTGGAAGATGAGGCAGAAGACCATGGAGAATATTGTTTTTCACACAAGGCAGCTGACGGCTCAATATGAGGTAAGAGAAATGCGTGTTTGTTTGCCCTGCACTGTACTCCACTTCTTGCTTGTAGAGCGGGGCCCGGTCTGGTTGCATTCACACTGTACTCAAACCGCGCTGGAGTTTTCTTCTACTGGACCGAGACCTAGGTTTTAGACCGGGCCAGAGTTCGCCTTTTTGTTCCTTGACAGAGTTCAATGGCGCGTTCACACCTCCCCAAACGAACCGGACTTCCTAGGCAAATGGGCTAGAGTTCGGGACAACAGGGCTGGTGTGAATGCATCCTTAGAGAGGTCAAGGTCTAAGTGGCTTTAAGAATCTGTTGGACTCCTGGCAAGAACCAATGCAGACATGTTCCTGTTTTTAGTTTTCTACATTCGCCTGATAATCTAGCTGTTTTTGCTACTTCACATGACTTATGATAGCAGGGACTCTGCTTTTTGGCATTTGTGGGGCTCTGTTTTATTGACTTTTGAAGCAGACGGCGGCGGCAGCAGTTTCGGCCATGGAAAAGCTTCCGAGTCAGTGTGAAGGACTGGTCCTCGCTGTGGGAACTTTGAATCGTCTGGTTTATGAGCTTAACCGTAAGGTGGAGGCGATTGAGAATCGCAGGCCACCTGCGGCTTCTGGGACTTGTCAGCGTGGTGGGTTTGACCTTGAAGGAGACTCATAGCATGGATCAGTGGAATGGAATCCCACAATTAGGCATTTTCGGAACCAGAATGCCCAGATGAACTCAAGGCTGGAAAAATGTAATCTGTCTGTCTGAAGAAAAAACAAGAATCAAGCTTATCTAAATCTGACTCCCAACGGCCTCGGAGACAGGCCGACTATCAATTTCTCCTGGGACATGAGTACCCAAGGACAAAAACATCATCTATCGAGTTTTTTTTATGTCTCAAATCGTGTCCTGATAGACAAGATGTGAAAGATCTTTTTTTGTAATACCACTATCTACCCTCATGTTTCTCCCCCTTTTCCTATCTAAGATTATTATCTGATAAGGAAGAAATGGCCGCGCTTTCTACAGTTGCAGCTTCGTGCACTCCGCCCATCTTTCGGACGACTGTACGTACATATTCGCGTTGTACCTCGGTGCAATTCCAATAAAGTTTATTCGGATTCTTAAAAAATGGCACTACCTGTGCACACAATTTTAAATGTACAATTCTGTTCTAAAACATGTTTGCGTTGGAACTTTTTACAACCTTTTTCTTTCTTTATTTTCAAATTTACAGAAAACTATAAAGAAAAACTGTTTTTCTTCAACATAAATGATGATGATATTATGAAATGACACTATTTCTGCACATAAACTCACCTTGGTTTCTGAGCAGGCCTCGATGCTGAACTTGTGGAACAAATGCACTAAAGCCATTCTGATTTCCAGCTGGGCGAGCTTCATTCCCACACAGTTCCTGGGTCCAGCTCCAAATGGAAGGTAGACAAATGGATGTTGATTTGCTTTTGCCTCTGGTGTAAACCTGGGGTGGGGGTTAAACCACAGGTGAGAAAAACTTAAATTGTGCAAGATGAATAAAGAACAAATACATTTTTTGTGCACAAAATACTAATTAGGAAGCCACCTCCATCCATGACCTATCCAGAACCATATTGTGGAGGCAACTACTTAAGCACAGATTTATAGGCAAACCACAACCCAACTGACCACTGCTACATACTACACCATTAATGAGCAAGAGCTATTTTATTAATTTTAATGGGGACAGAAGCGCAGTTTTAAGTTAACAGTTCACCCTTTTCAAGCTGACAACCATTGACCTCAGACTCTTCCAGCCTTCGTCCCAGCTGCTTCACATTCAACTTCAAACCATCCCAGATGCACCCGAAGGTCCCTGTTTAATAAGGCCAACACGACCTCATCATCGGAAGTGAAATTCTCTTCAACTGAGGCCTCAGCCTGAAATTACCAGCACACCCACCTTATGCACTGGTTACACTGTGTCTATTTTGGAATTCTCTCTTAAAACTAAAAGCATGAGGAAACTTGTTTTTAGACCCAGCAGGAATAAATGAACCTGGAATGGTTATGCATTTTTAAACATATATATTTTAATGGTTTAATGGAACATCTGCAGTGAATTTTGAAACAAATATTTGAAACTTGGAAATACAAATCATGATGCTATAAGATTTGGGAAATATTTGAAGTTACTAATATACTACACCAATAAATAACTATTACTGTTATATATAAAAAAACAGTATATTTCAAATATAACAACTTTTCAGTAAATATAAGCTAGCTTTTATTTGGTTTAGAGAAAACTGAAACACCTCTCAGGAATGAACTTCTCCGGCTCAGGCCAGTACTCTGGGTCATGATGGAGGAAGCCTGCAGGGATCTCCAAGGTGGCCCCTTTAGGAAGAAACTGGCCATTTACAACACAGTCATGGTCAACGTCTCGTGCAAACCTTGAATGGACAAAATATCACAAATATTTCTCCTTCAGTATTTGTAAAGCCCCCCTCATTTTTTATTTTCTCTACAAAAGATCACAGTGTGGTTCAGATCAGTGTAAATACAGTATAACAATTAGAACAGAAGTAAATCTCTCAACTGCAGTGGCGGCTCCTGAGCAAAAATATTGGAGGGGCGGACATTAATTTTGTGAATAAATAACCACACATTTACAAACTGTTACATTTTCTGTGGGAAAAAAAAGGATATATTTGCTTTATATTTAATTTATTATACCATGCCATAGGGCAGCACGGTGGCGCAACTGGTAGAGCTGCTGCCTCTCAGCGAGCAGGTCCCTGGTTCAAACCCCGGTCCAGGGGCCTTTCTGGGTGGAGTTTGCATGTTCTCTCCGTGCATGCGTGGGTTTTCTCCGGGTACTCCGGTTTCCTCCCACAGACCAAAAACATGCATGTTAGGCTGATTGGTAACTCTAAATTGTCCCTAGGTGTGAGTGAGAGAGTGAATGGTTGTTTGTCTTGTTTGTCTCTATGTGGCCCTGTGATGGACCTGCGACCTGTCCAGGGTGTACCCCGCCCCTCGCACAGTGATTGCTGGACATGGGCACCAGCGACCCCCGTGACCCAAAATGGAACAAACGGGTAAAGAAAATGGATGGATGGATGGATACCATGCCATACCAATTTATTTATAGAGCACTTAAAACAGCAACAAGGCCAACCAAAGTGTTGTACAATAGAAACAAGCAAGCATAGTGGACAGGAAAACATAAAATAAAAATATAGATAACAGCATTATATGTTTTCTGTGTCTACAAAGTTGTGCCTTTTTTCTCACTCCCGTAGGTCAAGGTTGTGTCTCATGAAAAACAGTCCAGTCTAATAAATCAAAGAAACAGACGCCTCCCGGAACCAGCCAACAGGTGCACAGCCTTCTGAAATGGATTTCTAATTTGATTTGAAGTTATAATTCTGAAATAATAGTCCAGATTAACATTTAAATGAGAGGAAAAAAAAAAGTGGAAAAAAAAAAGATGGTAGAAAATATTGTCACTGATTCAAATAAAAGATCCAGGTGGGTTTTCACCCACAAATATTCAGTTATGAGACCACTGTTTTATTCATTGACCCACAAATCAAGCCACAATTGTGTAAACAAGATCCTGCCATGTTGGTGAGAATGTCCAATGTTTTATTTTTGTCTTCTTCTTCTCAGTTTTCTGTTATGGACCCCTCTGTTTTCTCCAAATAGAATTGAAAAACAGAATATCTCCACTGTTGAACTCAGCAGGTTTCACTGCAGCTGTTCTTGCGTTTGAGCTCACGTCAGGTCTGGATTGTAGCAATGTACTAAAACCAGCCAAATGTGTCCACAGGGCAGGAAATGAGATGCCCCAAGTGAAACTTTACTGGACCTGCCTGTTTGGATCATGGGCAGCATGTTTGGATCCACTTCACGAACGTGGGTCATTGAACCATAACAATAAATAAGTGGAAAAAAAAAAAAAAAACTGAGGATGAATCACCAAAACTAATTTTTAATTCCTTTTAAAGTTGTCAAATTAGCTGAAAAGTACACCGAACAAAACAATACACAGCAATCCCAGTAAAACAAGTAATTTACATTATTTGTTAGAAGGAACTACTTTGTGGAGTGAATGAACATTTTAAGTGCAGCTCCGCCCCTCCTGCCCCTATGGACACATGGCCACTGTTCAACTTTATAATTTTTTTCCTCACTGCCCATATTTCTTTACCTGAAACCAGGAGGATAGTGCCGAAGTGCTTCACATACAACCATGTCTAAATACTTGAGCTCCTGAATATTTGTGTAATTTGGTGAATCCTATTGAAACAAGAGGACTGATTAAACCAACAGCTGTTACAAACCTGCATTTAAAAAAAATCTGCTTAACCCTAAAATACAACAAACTTACATGTTTGGTGAACAAATCATCTGCCTCCTCCTGTAATTTCTGTTGACATTCAGGGTGAAGGGCCAACAGGTAGCAGGTGAAGGCCAACGTGCTGCGGCTGCTTTCATAACCTCCTAGGAGAAAGACAAATGCCTGAGACACAATCTCATCATCACTCATCGTCTTTTTTTGTAGGCGCTTCATGTATAGCTCCTCTGTGTGACGACAATCGTCTTCTTGCTCCGCTAATGCTTGTTCCTCTTGGCTTTGGTGATCAAACTTATCAGAGTGTTTTGTTGTGTCAAAGTGCTCCAAGGAGACTTGATCTGTGCCAGTTCGAGCGTCTAACAGCAGCTGAAGGAAGTCTCTACGCCTCTACCAGGAGCATAGAGTAGTTATCAGAAAGTGTTCAAAATAATAATAATAATACATTTGCACGTGAGATGATTTTTCGTGTTATTAAAGCAGACATCCACCTGTTCAGGGAGCTGTTCTTCTCTTTGCTTTATGATCTTCTTAATGTTGTTGATGTAGAAACTGTCCATCTGTTTTCGCCTTTTGTTTGGAATGAATCTTGCAAGAAGAGCCATGATAGCAGGAAAAGTAACTGTAGTAAACAATAAAAAAAAAATCAAAAAAAAAATCTGCAGTTTAACCTAAACTTCAACTTTATACCTTAGAAAGTTTGTAGGTTTATAAAACTGACTTGCATTCTAAAAATCTCTGACCACTGACATTCTTGCCTTTGTTAAAATACTGTGCAGTTGTACTAGAGAGAAAGAGTGTATGGTTTGTGACCACAGTATTTAATTTTTAACTCCCTTTTCAAATCTCTCACATACTGGAAACTTTCCATCTTCAAAAATACACATACTTGAAAACAACACGATGGGTCTGAAAAAAGTAAAAGCAAAGAACATCTGAGCGTGGTGAAGAAATGGATCGTCTGGGTTGTTCTGCGAGTCCACTTGAATACCAAACGCCACACTGGCAATAACATCCATGGTAAAGCAGCCAAAACACCTAAAAATGGTAGAAACAAATCACTAATGTAGAACATAAAGATAGGTAAACAATAATTTAATTTCATCACCCCGTCATTACTTGTGGATGTCAAAGGCCTGTGCTGACTCAGCGTGGACATTAAGGTTGGTCATCAGTGCGTCAACGGCTGTGTTGATGAGAGGAACCATCTACAGGAGGAAGAAACTTGACATGTTTTTGAACAGAGACCATGAAATACAAACCTATCCTTCAAGTATTTGTGAAAATTAGTGCAACTTTATATACATAACAATATAGTATTAAGAAGATACAAATGAATTACAGTAAACGTGCCAAGTTAAAGCACTACATAATAAAACTATTTTCAAAACTGGAATATCTCACTTCTTTTAACTTGGCAGTACTGAAAGTCGAGGTTACGATGCTTCGAACTCTTTTCCACCGCTCGTTCCTCAACAGGAGCAGACAGTCTTTCATGGGTTTGGTGGCAGCGCTGAACATCTGTGCATCAAAAAAGGAAAGAAAATAAAGAAGAATACACCATCAAAGCTTGTGTTGGAAACATTGGACGAGAATCTTGTGAAAATCAGGACACTTTGGTTTATCCTACCATTCTGTTAGGAAAACTACTGAAGTCCTTGACCAGCACTTGTCTGAGCATTTCAGGGTCTGCTATCACCACCACTGGTCTACGACCCAAATAGTATCTATAAAACATCAATTAAACCATTACAGAGGAGAAATATTAAAATAAACGAGTTTTAATTCAATTAATAACAAGTGCTTTCTTTTTATTTCTTTACATACTGAGTAAATAAACGTATAAAGAATTTCAAAGTATAACAAAACATAGAAAAGTTCTGCTAAACTTAATTAAATGTTGCAATTTGAAAAAAGTTTATTCCAGTATTTTTCCAGATATTTGGAATGCCATTCTGAAATATGAGTGTGGACTTGGTAAATAAGACACACAGCTGGATCCACCAAAAACCACATGGAAGCCCGAGTCACATTATTGATCTACACCAGGCTGGATGTGAACTGTGTAAACATGGGCATGAAGTTTAACGTTTGACCTACTTTCAGTCACTTTGGCTTCTTCTGGAGTTAAACAGACGCTATGGTAGTTGGCTTTTGAACACAAACCTTTAGATTTTGGAACACTTTAATAATCAATATGAGGAAAATGATAAGCCATTTTTTCCCCTTTATTCAAATTTATTTTGTCCTGTCATCATAGATTTACAGTTGAGTACTTTCAAATTAATATTGGTCCCTAATTCTAATAGGCAGTGGTGGCGAAAAATAATTTTTACTTACCCACATACTCTTCCATGTGTCTTTATAATATCAGAAAGAGGTTTGTAAAAGCCCTTTTAAAAAAGGAAGGAAAAAGTAACAAACATCAACATTTGTCCTTTTGTTCTTCTGAGTTTGGCGACATGGTAACATTTGGGTAATGTCAATGTTAAATTGGACACCAGGTGGGACAAATCAGATACTTTGAAATTATATAAATCATTAATTTTTACCTTCTGAAACATTAGTAAGTTTCCAAAGAATGGCACTGGCTTTGGATGTTTGATTCCACATCGAGAGAGGACTGAAAAGGGATAGACTGAATACCTGCAGATAAAAAGGGTCAAGTTTAAATTTCTATCAAATGAAGCTTTTTTTTTTTTTAACAGTAGAAAACAGTATGAGAAGACCAGAATTCACTTACCAATAAAGGAGACCCAAAAAAATGAAGACGAGGCTGAGCATCACAGAATTTCTGCAGCTGATGTCATCGTTGAATGCATTTGGAAAGTCCCCAACAGTCTCCATGATGGACAAACACTTCTCAGCTTAAATAATAAGCAAAGCGTATGATAAATGATGAGCCTATATTCAAATCTGTGTCTTGTCTGCTACCTTCACAAAGAAAAAACAAAATTATTTTTATCCGTTTTAATGGAAGCGCATGTGACGGGACCCGTCTTGTAGTAATCTAAGGTTGTTTTGTCTTTTTGTCCTCAAGAAATTTGTCAATTATTGCTTGGATTTTTGCTTGTGGCCTTTTGACTTGTTCCAAGACAACACCCACCCCTGTAGATTTTATGGACCGTACTGGTTTCAACATTCCCTCAACTTATATCAAACATGAGCGTCTGAAAAGGGCCAGGACACAGACTGGGGTTGAAACAATCTAAACATTTTAGAAAAAAAAAGTTAATCAAATTAAAAGTAAAATCTGGATGGTCAATTCGTCAGAATCCAAGGCAGGTGAGATCAATTATAGTGAATTTAAAAGGAATTTGGAACAATACATGATTAAATATAATTTATTTATTGGTTAAGACTACAAATTATTTTTACGTAAGACTACAAATTATTTTAAACAACTTTGATTTTAAACACAAGTACCGGTAATTGTACTTGTTGAAAATCAATTCAGCACAATTTAAATAAATGTAATTTTCCTTTCCTACAAAAATTTACTTTGTCACTTGTCTCCTATTCTGAATCACTCATTTGTCCCTTGCACAAACATTTAACAAATTCAGATTGTTAATTAAAAGTTGTTTTAATAAAAGACTAATGTCCTTCTTGAATATTAATGCATGGTTTTCAATGTTTTATTTATACAAAGTGAGTCCAATCAAAAATATTTTGTCATAACCTGTTGATTGGATCAATGTTTCATTTATCTCTTAGACACAAGAAGCAGAACAAATGTGAACACGCTGTCAATTTTGATTTTTTTTATTGGTCAATAACAGAAGATTTATAAAATGTTCAAAATTCTGCAAACAAAAATACATTTTAAAAATCCCTTTGAGATTTGTGAGAGGTAAAGTTTATAAAAGCTTTAAATCCTGTGTTAGACATGATAAACAGAAGAAAACTAAGTCAGAGGAAGTATTTTACTCTTACACATTTATTTTGTTGAAAGAATACATTTTCTTAAAAAGCTCATCTGTAACATCTGTAATATCTGACACAACAGATCGTGCAAAGACAAGAAGCCGTTTCTTGATTATTCAACTCATTTCCAAAATAATTTGTTAGATTTAAGTCTACACATGAATATTTTCTGCAGTTTTAATATTTTTATTTTATCATAGTTTTTAATAATAAACAATCTCAAGATTTCCAGATTTATTTAGGTTTCTCTTTTATTTTGCTAATAATAAACACATGGGGAAAAATTGTCAGAAGTTTCTTTATGGAAGCAGCTATGAAAATGCTATGGACAGCAGTAACAAGAACATTTGCTCTAGTAAAACAACAAAAGTGCAGAAACACATGATTAAATATAATTTATTTATTGGTTATTACATAAGACTACCAATTATTTTAAACAACTTTGAGTTTAAACACAATTTAAGTACCGGTAATTGTACTTGTTGGAAATCAGTTCAACACAATTTAATGAACATTTTTAACAAAATGTACAAATGATCAAACTAAAGAGCAAGATCAGCAGCTTTTGTGACAACTAAACAGCTGCTGTAGTTTTGCATTACTTTAGCATAATGATTTTATAAACACAAATTGTATTTACTTTCATTTCATGGTTTCATTCCTATATAATACATCACTGACATTGTGATCTGTGGTGAGAATAGGGAACAGGTGGAAGAGAACTTGGAGAGGTGGAGGTATGCACTTGAAAGAAGAGGAATGAAAGTCAGCCGAGTAAGACAGACTACATGTGTGTGAATGAGAGGGAGGCAGAGGTCACAAAGGTGCAGGACTTCAAGGTCCACTGTCCAGGAAAAATGGGCAGTGTGGGAAAGAGGTGAAAAAGAGAGTCCAGGCAAGATGGGGTGGATGGAAAAAAAGTTTTGGGAGTGATTTGCGACAAAACAGTGGCAACTAAAGGTCAAAGGAAAAGTTTACAAGACTGTGGTGAGACCAGATATGTTGTATGATCTGGAGACTGTGGCACTGACAAAAAGACAGGAGAAAGAACTGGAAGTGGCAGAAATGAAGATGTTGAGGTTCTTCTTAAGAGTGACAAGGATGGATAAGATTAATGAGATCATCAGAGGTACAGCACAGGTCGAACTGGGAGATAAAGTTAGAGAGACCAGACTGAGATGGTTTGGACATGTCCAGAGGAGGGACAGTGGGTATATTGGTAGAAGGATGTTAGAAATGCAGCTGCCAGGAAAAAGAGGAGAAATATGGATGCAGTTAGAGAGGACATGGAGGTTGGAATGAGGACAGAGTGAGATGGAGAATGACTCATTGTGGAGACCCCTGAAGAGGGAAAAGCCAAAAGAAAAAAAGATTCCTATATACTACATGAGTCATTTTTTAATGTAAAAAATATTTAAAAATCTGACAAAAATTGATAAATAGGTTTAAATGAAGATTATGTGTACAAATGCTAAAGATTAAAAAAAAAATCTCAAATATCTGTTCTTTACAGAAAATGCCTCCTGTAGTTAAAAAGGTTTAAATGTAAGTAGTACTATCCTTAAATTCCAAATTTGGAGTCTCTGACACTTTTATTAAAGACATGTAAATGACCCAAAGTCGTAATGTTTTTATGCTCTTCTCACTTCTCTCTTCTTGTGATTTTCACAAATACGCCATTTTTGGGTCCTAGAGTGCTAGACGATTTCAAGTCCAGAGGAACCTAAATGATTAGAAAAAAAAAAGGAAATATAAACAAAAACAAAGAGAAAATGAAATATTTTACACCTACGTTTGCAAAAAGTACAAAAGTACAAATGACAAAATATTATACTACTGTAATGTACTGTATCTAGAGTAACAATAACTAGAACCACTTTTTGAAGGTGTTGACAGATGTATTTTGAAACTTTAGTCCAATAACTGATGTTTTGTTCAATGTAAAAACATCAATTGCTTTAAAACTTACACGTTTGTGGCTCCAATAATTTTGTCAGGCTAAAGATTTAGATTACTCTACATAACTGGAAATAGTTTTAGAGGTCAAGTAAGTACAAGTAATAACTCATACAAATTCATAGTATAAATTAAGAGTAATCAGCTGTATTTTTATTTTAATAACATGAAACTCACAAAACAAATATAAAAATCATAAAGTTATGTTTGCTTTTATAGTTCCACTTTTTAAAAAAAATACATTTACAACACAAATGCCGAAACAAACTGTATTTGTTTGAAAAAGAAAAATAATAATAACAATGTTAGTATAATATTTTTGCTTTCTTGCTGACCCAACCCACCTCAGTCTTAGAACAGGCCTCGATGCTGAACCTGTGGAACAAATGCACTAAAGCCATCCTGATTTCCAGCTGGGCAAGTCTCATTCCCACACAGTTACGGGGTCCAGCCCCGAAAGGCAGGTAGACAAATGGATGACGACTAGCTCTGGCCTCTGGTGTAAACCTGAAGGTCAAACAAAGGATATAAGGATATAGAATATTGGATTTTTGCAAAAAACACTTTAAATTAAACCTACAGTCCTTCAATGTACTTTATACGCTTGATACATTGTCTTTTACTCCAATTTCAAAACATATTGCATTTATTTTGTGCGCAATGCCAGATTTTCGATAATGCTTCTATTAAAACAAAAATCCCATACTATTATGAAAAATGTACTTTATGAATTAACCCTTTTAATGTGATGGAGTATGTGTATGACTATGAGACAGTGTTGTCCAGGGCATTAGTTCATGAAAGGCTCCCCCATGGAAAGCTGACCTCAGAGAGGGCTCAGACTAAAATCATAACATTGATGGGACAAGACATGTTCTCTAAACTAGACTAAGTAATCATGGCTGCTGGGGAAGGAAGAAGCTGGTTAGCAGCTGATGGTTGAACTTTAATTTCTGTTAGAGCTTAACCACAAATATGCTACAAATTGCCACCTCAATGCAAACCCACCACCAGCAGGAAACGTAGTTGATGTATGTGTGAGTTGGGAGATAAGTGAAGCTGGGGGCCAGTGTGTGCTCATTTCTGGCATCATAAACTGGCTCTTGGAACATGAAATATCACGTAGAGCTTGGAGAAAGAACCAATGTTGGTGTGAGACTGAGTGGCAACAACCAGATGTATGTGGGCTTATCATCACACACAGATTAGGCTCTGAATCCCAACTCTGAGAGAAGAGCTGGGCTCTTTTTTTACTCTAAACTTGTCTAGGAAGAGAGTAGTAAGCAGAAGTTTGAAATATCCAGCCTTCTTGTAGTCCCTTGATGGTGTACCTGAAAGGGTGCCATCAGGAGATTTGATGACTGTCTTGGTGGACTTCAATGGACATGTGGTCAATGACTGAGTTACCTGGGTGGGGTGATTAGAAGAAATGGCCTCTCTAAATTAAATTCAAGCTGTGTTCTGATTTTGGACTTCTTTGCTAGATACAATATGTGTTGTCCATAACAAACACTGTTCCAAGCATTAGTGGCTCTTCAAGTGTAGTTGATACCAGGTCACCTTAAGACAAAGGTCGATGATCAAGGTTGCATCTGTATCACACCTCCAATCAAATGCTTTGAACAACTGAGTGAAGAAAGGGCACAGCTGCCAGGTGATCACCGCCTCCTCGTGAGTGGATGCTTTCTGGTGGAATCCCTTTGAATTTTTTTAAGGCAAACATTTTGCAGAAGGGAGTGCATCTCAGGCCTTGTGATGGACTTGCGTCCCTGTCCAGGGTGTACACCACCTCTGACACAGTGACCGCTGGGCATGTACACGAGTGCAGATGATGGCTGGCATCTCTCTTCTACCCTGGAAACAGCTCAGAATACCTCAGAAAAAGCTGGAGAGGGTCACTGAGGAGAGATGTCTGGGTTTCCCTTCTTGACATGCTGCCTCAGCTACCTAACTTCAAATATGCAGAGAAAAAGGGAAGGAAGGTTATTTTATTTGTCTGTCTTTTCTTTCAGGGTCCCAAGGAGATGGTGCCTATCACCATCAGTCATTGTGCAAGAGGACGGGTCCACCCTGGACAGGTCGTAAATCCATCACAGGGCCATATAGACAATTGAGACACACAGCCATTCACACTCTCACTCACATAGGGACAATTTAGATTTACCAATTAACCGAACATGCATGTTATTGGTCTGTGGGAGGAAACCATAGTACCCAGAGAAAACCCACATATGCACAGGAGAACATGTACACTCCATTAAGAAAGGCCCCAGGACAAGCAGGTGATTCTGCAACCTCCTCATAGAGATGACAGCTGTAAACATTGTGTCATCATCAGCAATATCTAGCAAAAAAATAACATTTATGGTGTGACTTAGACTGGATGATGCTCTGGTTATATGAATATGATAAATTCTCAGTAAATACAAATCAACCTTTTACTAGATATAGAGAGGACAAACACCTTTCAGGGATGAACTTCTCCGGCTCAGGCCAGTAGTCTGGATCATGATGCAGGAAGCCTGCAGGGATTTCCAGTGACATCCCTTTAGGAAGAAACTGGCCATTCACAACACAGTCATGGGCAACTTCTCGTGCAAATCTACATTAAACAAAATACCAAAGAAAATATTAGTCCTTCGGGTTGACAAAACCTACCTTTTACATTCTTCTCTATGAGTGATCAAAGAATGGCTTCGTCAGTGTAAATATGACAGAAAAGCAGGGAATTTACTGAATCATACACCCATTTAACCTCACTGATCATACCTGAAACCAGGAGGGTAGAGTCGCAGTGCTTCACACACAACCATGTCCAAATACTTCAACTCCAGGACATTTGTATAATCTGGTGAATCCTGTTAAAACAAGTGGATAAACTAACAATCCATAAAAATACATAAAGTGATTTGAATGAACAGAAATATAACAAACCCACATGTCTTGTGAAAAAATCATCCAGTTCCTCCTGTACTTTGCGCTGGCATTCAGGGTGGAGTGCCAACAGGTAGCAGGTGAAGGCTAACGTGTTGCTGCTTGTTTCATAGCCTGCCACAAGGAAGATAAAAGCCTGACCCACAATTTCATCTTCAGTCATCCCCTTTTTCTGTGGACGCCTCACAGCTGGTTCGTCTGGGCGAGGGAGTTTGTTTTCTTGCTCCAAAGTTGACTGTGTCTGCTGGCTCCGGTTATCAATGTCATCCGAGAGGTTTGCTGTGTCAAAGTGCTCTAAGGAGACACTCTCTTGGCTGGTTCGAGCATCTAACATCAGCTGGAGAAAGTCTATTCGTCTCTACAAGCAAATATTATTCAACTGTCAGAAAATTTGGCAAAAAAGAAAACTGGATATGCAACATAAAATTTAAAATGTTACAAATCTGAAATCCACCTGTTCAGGGGGTTGTTCCTCTCTCTGCTTTATGATTTTTTGAATGGTGTTAATGAAAAAGTTATTCATCTGGTCTCTCCTTTCATTTGGGATGAATTGTACAATAGGAGCCATGATACTAGGAAAAGCAACTATAGACACAAAAACAAAGAAATGTTTTGTTCGACCTGAAATGCCAATTTTATATCTACAATAGCTTTGCATAATTGCTAATTACCAACTTTCTAGTCCTTATAAAATAATGTCTGATAGAGATTGCTTCACAAGACAGTATCTAGTTTGTGTTCATATTATTCAATTTCCTTACACTTTCATTTCCACATATAAATTTTTCATGTGTAATAATGACATACTGGAAAATAACAGAAGAGGCCTGAAAAAAGAAAAGGAAAAAAACAACTGAGCGTGGCGGACAAATGGATCATCTGGGTTATTCTGTGAATCCACCTGAGTTCCAAAACCCACACTGGCAATAACATCCATGGTAAAGCAGCCAAAACACCTACAAAAAAGAGCCAAAGAAATAAAATGGATATGATAAAATAAGTTTAAAAAAATCGTAATCAATGACTGCTCATGGTTTGTGATTACTTGTGGATGTCAAAGGCCTCTCCTGACTCAGCGTGGGCATTCAGATTGTTCATCAAAGCATCCGTGGCTGTGTTGATGAGAGGAACCATCTACAGGAGGAAGAAACTTGACATGGTTTTGAACTCCAAAGAGTATGACCATAAAATACAAACCTTTCCTTCAAATATTAGTGAAAATCAGTGCAACGTTATATACAGAATAATAATACGGTACTAAGAAGATACAAATGAATTACAGTAAATGTGTCAAGTTAAAACACTTTATCTGAAGTACAAAAATATATGAACAAATACAGTAGTCCCTCATTTATTGCGAGGGATCCGTACCCTGAAGCCCCCCGTGATAAAAGAAAAACCGCAAAGTAGGAATAGTAGTACAAGTAGTAAGTAGTTCATTAAGTAATTTATAAATAAATAAATAAATATATATATATATATATATATATATATGTGTGTGTGTGTGTTTATTTTTATTATTATTTATTAAGGTGTTTTGAACCCTTCCCACACTCTTGTAATATTCTAATGCTTCTAAACTCCACACGCTCCAAAAGAGCACAGAATGTCATGATTTCAGTTCTCTGACACCTGCCAGGCCTCTCAGTCACGCCCACCACTTCTCCGCTGCAGAGCGGAGATCAGCTGATCAGCTGCAGGAAGGAGAGCCGGAGCTGTGGGCTGCACACAAGTGCAGCAGGTGCTAAATCATTTAAAATAATTTATTTTAACTTAAAAAAATCCTTGCTGATCGTGCGGCTCATCCAACATTCAGCCAGTTCTGTGTCATGTCCAATCTTACTTTGAAAAACCGCGATAGAGTGAGTCCACGAAAAACAAACCGTGAAGTAGCGAGGGACTACTGTACTTGTTATTTTAATTTAGCTTTTTCTTTATGAAATATTTACATACTATTATACTGCAATAACTATAGCAAAAACTAATTCATCATAAAAAAAACTGAGCAAGCAGCTATTTCCTTACTAATGGGAACAATATAATCTCACTTCTTTCATCTTGGAAGCACTGAAGGATGGAGTCAGGATGCTTCGAACTCTCTTCCACTTTTCATCCCTCAACATGAGCAGACAGTCTGTTATAGGCTTGGTGACAAAGCGAAATGCCTGCACATATAATACCAGCATTTATAATGCATTATCAAAGCTTGTGTTGGAAACATGGGATTAGCTTTGTGTGAACATCAGCAAACATTTGCTCATGTCCTTACCATTCTGTTAGAAAAGCTACTGAAGTCCTTGACCATTATTTGCCTGAGCATATCAGGATCTGCTATCACCACTACTGGTTTCCGACCTAAATAATACCTAATACAATTTACATGTTATAGTGAGAAAAATATAAATTACTAAAGTAGTTTTTTAATTCTAACAGAAGCTAGTTTAACTTGCAATTTTACTCACCCACATACTCTTCCATGTGTATTTATAAGATTATTGAGGGGCTTGAAAAAACCCTGAGGAAAAAATGAAATAAAAAACCCTGTAACTAACATCACGAGATCTTACTTCACAGACTACTGCATATTTAAACTGCAGAAAAAAGTTTCAGAACAAAATCAAACCTCTCTACAAATTCTCTGTCAATGACAATAACACAAAGAACTAGAGAAAATGTAGAATAATGGAGATTATTCTGATATTTCATTTTTAAACTGGATCTCACCTCACGAAACATGAACACGTTACCAAATAATGGAACTGGCTTTGGATGTTTGATTCCAAATCGAGAGAGGACTGAGAAAGGATAGACTGAATACCTGCAGAAAGAAATGGAAGAAAATATGTAAAAAAAAAAAATTCTCACAGCTAAGACAACAATGAGGTCATTTACAATCTGCGCTGAGTTAAGTAGAGAAATGTAAATAAGCGGGCTCCCACATTTATAATAAGCTCCATAAATGTTTTCAGATAGTCTTACCAAATTAATCTAAAGAAATTCAAAACCTGCTTGATGCACAATTAGCTGAACCATATATTTAATGATAAACATTCACTTACCAGTAAAAGAGAGACAGAAATACGAGGATGAAGCCCAGTGTCAGGGAAGTTCTGCTGATCTCAATGTTGAATACATTTAGAAAGTCACTTACTGACTCCATGATGACAAAATGCTTCTTTAAAAATCCAAATTAGAGGAAGATTCCTGAGGACAAAAAATAAATCATAAGAAATGCACTGTCCTTACCTAAAGTTTTATTTATCAAATTCTACATAAACACCTGGTATGAATAAAAACAGATGCTAGTGATGGCACTAAATATTGCTTTGACAGTTTAGTCTAGTCCTGCTTGTTCGGGCCCCAGTTTTTTCAGGTAAATGACACAAAAGCACATAATGACAAAGGCACTATTGTGCTTTTGTGTCTCCTGATCTGAACACACACGGGACATGTACTTTAACTAGCCTGAAATTATACAAAATCATCTTTCCGAGTACAGTATACCGCATTCATTTAATAATAACAATCATTACAATAACTGTAATAACAATAACATTTCCAAGCTAACGCCATAGCATAACTGCCCTTTACACATAATTTTAGTAAATGCAACTTTTATTCACCGATACAGTTTTCAGGTATTTGTCTGCTTCGTTCTCATCTCCGAGATCATGTTAAAATATTTTGTTTACTTACTGTACTTCGGGGTCTTTCCTCTCAAAATGTAAATAAACAGCAGCGCTCTTCTGTTTATCGAACTCACGTCACTCAACACGTCACTGTGATCTATACTGCCCCCAGCTGGACAGGAGCGCAATGACATGGCATAAATTATCAATACAACCCGAAAATGGTCCTTTTTAACACTGAAAACTGAATTTTAAAACACCTCGTTCTCAATTATTACCAGTACGCCATTCACCGTTCAAAAAACACAAAAACCCATCTTTTAGATTGACATGTGATATTTCTGTACAAGAACTTTTGTCTTCAGTTTTCCTCCTCGACTCCCTAATCATATTGAATTGTAGAGCATTATATTAAATGGAGAATCTGCAGAAACATCTTTGCTTATTTTGGATGTGTCTTTTGATCACCATAAAGGTGGCATACATTCTCAAAAGGAAATAAGCTGCTTCTTCCTTGGATTGCCTGTAGAGGACAGTCACACATCATGTTATTCATGAAGAAACCTCTGCAAACAGGCAAGAACAGTTCTCACAAAATCTTTCCATCCATCAAAGTTATTCCAGATTCACCAAAATAAATGTCAATAAATGTAATATACACTTTATAAATGGCTACATGACTAACCTTTTTATTTTCTAGCTTCAGTTGGCTTAATACCTGTCCAAAAAGCTACTTTACTTTTTATCTGAATACTGACTGCATGGCCCTACATTTGTAAACAGTAAGACTAATGTGTGAATTCATTAATATTAGTTGTTGGTTATTGAAAGTTTTAATTCTATTGGTTGAGTGTGTCTGCATGTGTGTTTATTTTCCTGTAACATTATCCAAATATGTCAGAAACTACTGGACAGATTGTTAATGTAATGTTCAGAAAGTAATCACTGGATGTGCACCTGCAGCTTATTACTTTTTAGATGTCCAGCTAATTCAAGAAATAACTGACCTTAGTCATTACAAAAGTGGCTATAACTCCATCAGTTTTACTGAAACTGAGCAAAGTTTGGAGTGGTAGTAGCTGAGAGTCCTCCTCAGCATTCTTTAGGTGCTAACAGACCACGCATTGAGTTCTCTAACTCTAATTTTTATTCCTCATCATGAATTGGTCTTGATTTCAAACTCTGTCGGGAAGGATGGCATTCAATATAAGCACAATTTCAAGGAATATCAGGCCTTTTCCATCCATCCATCCATTTTCTTTACCCGTTTATTCCATTTTGGGTCACGGGGGTCGCCGGTGCCCATGTCCAGCAATCACTGTGCGAGGGGCGGGGTACACCCTGGACAGGTCGCAAGTTCATCACAGGGCCACATAGAGACAAACGAGACAAACAACCATTCACTCTCTCACTCACACCTAGGGACAATTTAGAGTTACCAATCAGCCTAACATGCATGTTTTTGGTCTGTGGGAGGAAACCGGAGTACCCGGAGAAAACCCACGCATGCACAGAGAGAACATGCAAACTCCACCCAGAAAGGCCCCCGGACCGGGATTTGAACCAGGGACCTGTTCGCTGAGAGGCAGCAGCTCTTATCAGGCCTTTTGAAAAGTTTTATTTATAGTTATAAAATAAAATAAAATAAAGATAGCTTGTGTCAATAACAAACTAAACTTTTTTTTCAGGCTCTTTTCTAAAACAGTCATAGTTGGTTCTGAATTAACTCAACACTTTAATCAATTCCAGCCTACAGTGTGTTTTTGATATTCAGAGGCCTAGCTCAATAATAAATACATTATTTTTGTGTTCAGTTTGAAGGAAAATTTGTGATTTTACCGGTAATTAAAACCCAAGTCACCAAGCAATGCACAAAAACGGTAACGCGAAGCGGAGGTGCAGAGTTTACCTTGCAGGAAATGATTCTCGGAGCAGGTGGGTCATTTGAATTCAGATGACACAATGTCCTAATTATGCACACCCAGAGACGGTTACTTACCCAAATCCTTGGAGGTGTTAAACAAAGCTGACTGCAAGTTCAAAGTGCTCATCTGTGTGTGCATGTGGCATGTGCATAATCAGTCAGCATCATCTGAGCAAAATAACAATGAAACAACACAGTGAACGATGTGCAGACGGGCTTCCAGCATTTTGCACATATAAACTCAGACAAACATTTGAGTTCAGAATAAAGATTTTAAATTAGAATACACAGGAAATAATGGCAATGCTCCAAGAAAAGGATAAACTGTTTGTCATTTGTCTAAAGGGTCAGGTTCTTTTTAATAATGACTGGGAATAGGTTAAGGAAATCAAAGAAGATAAAATTACATAAGCTGACTTATAGAATAGAAGCAATATTTCAGTGTTTTCACTGACAAAGAAAGAATGCACAATATTTCTGGTCTGATAAAGCATCCTTTGCACAGAATCCAGCCAAGCAGGAGTAACAACTGGTGCAGCAGCAAGCTATTAAAGACCAGAAGAAGTGAGCTGGTTTCTGTTCTGAGGCCCACCAGAGGGCACTAAGAGCCTGAAATAAAACAATGAACACCTGCATTGCTTCCTGTCAGACTGCATAAAGACAAACGGTGTGTCAAAGTTTGTGACTGAATGAAATGTGCAAGAAAATCTTTGGAGATGAATGTTCATATAAGAACAGCTTTCTGCATTGTAGCCATTTCTTTTTTCACTAAGGGCTGGTTTGACTCGCAAGTAGCACTCGTGCCTACATTTTGGTCCTCAGACCATTTGAAGCTGTTTGTTGACTCCATCGGGGCTCAGATTGTAGGACAGCCTTCAAAAGGGCAAAAGAGCTGCAGGAGGGTTTTCATCGTGCGCTGAATAAAGGCCTCTGTTCTTTTACCTGCCAGTCTTTGTCCTTGTTCACAATAAAAAGCCAGAAAAAACTGCTAAAATCTCTAAAGCTAATTTGCAAATCAAACAATCACTACCCAGTTTCTTCTGAACAAGAAATATTTTCTCAAGTCCAAACTGAGTTGTTTATTGTTCAAAAGATGATAGGAAATGTTCCTTGAGCCCAGAATTTCAACACATTTTAAGAATGTGAAGTGCTGTAAGAAAGAAAAGCACATTTGATGAAAAACAAGTAGCTCCGCGGTGATTTTAATTTTTTTGGGTTTTGGCATATTTACATGGTCATTCATTTTCAAAAACACTGATTGAAGACCACTCGAATCAAGACCTCAAGTATGTCAGAGTATATATTTGTTATTTTTACCAGGTTTAATAGCACTGAAGGAAAAAATAAAGAAGGAAATCAGAATTTATGCAGTTTGGACCTTTCAAATCTTTATTACAAACAAAGAGGAGGGACATATTGAAGACGAGCTTTCAGGTCAGACTTTTGCAAAGATAAAGCTCAAATGTTCTCGTGTTCATGTACAATGTTTGTTATCAGACATGAATAAAGAGCCACATACAAAAAGTGAACAGAAGCAGTTCAGAAATTAATATAATATTCAGTGGACTATGGCCAGCATTACCAGGTCAGAATTTCATATAGCCTCTTTATGCTCACATGAACCTCTTTTTTCTGAAGTTTAATTAAAGAAAACATAAAAACAGAATTTTTTTTCAGTGGTTCTTATTTATATGTTGTCCCCAATCCATTCTTTGAAAGGTTCAATTTTCTGGAGACAAGAACAAACTATTACCGTGCAAATGATTTCTGCTGAACTGGCTCTCCTTTTCATGCCTGATTTGTCTTTGTGTTCGGGTCTTTGTGCTGCCTCCCATTCCTCTCTCCGCCTGCCCAGCTTCCTGGCCCTGGCTGCTGTCACTAAAACCCTCATCCGGGCTTATTTACATTATATTACTTTTGATTTGAATGAGGCCTGCTGAGAGATGAAAAGTCATTTAATGGACACACACAGCGTGGAGAAAAGCAGCGCTCGGGAAGTCCGCATCACACATCTGTTTACTTTCCTCATCAAAAGAGACCCGCAGAGCCTCAATAAATTGTTACCAATAAAGATTTTATGACTGAATGAAAAGTAGACCAAATGTCAATCCTATCTCATGTAAAATATATAAAAAATACAACACAATTTATATGTTTTTTTTAATTAATCACATAAAATCCTCAAATCAGTTTATTGGATCTTTAATTGTATTTTTACACCTTCAATGTCTTCTGAAAAAGACACATTAAAAACCTGCTAAACCTTTTCAACAATGGACAGCATATGAGTAATAGGCAACATGACAAAATCCCCGGAGAGATGTGACAAAGAATTAAGAAAAACAAGGAGAAATGAAAAGTGTGGGGTAATGGGTAACAGGTGTGATGATTATGAAAGGGAGGCAGGTGTGCAGTGAGCTGGAAGGAGGGCTGAGGACATTTAAGGCAGCACAACTTAGTGGTTAGTGCTAATGCCGCACAGCAAGAAGGTCAATCAATCCCTGGTTTGGACCTGGGGTCTTTCTGTGTGGAGTTTGCATGTTTTCCTCATGTTTGTGTGTTCTTTTTCCCAGATACTCCGGTTTCCTCCCACAGTTCTAAAACATGCATGTTAGGCTGCATTCAGGCTCAGGACTCTCTTGTAAAAGAGATCTGTGATCTCAGTGGTATTTGCCTGATTAAATAAAAATTAATAAGGGTTTTGACAATAACAAAAACTAGATTATAACTCATTTGGATACCTAAAATTCACTAAATAATTAAAACTCATGATCAAAACTTAATATCAAACCCAACCTGGTACAGTTTGGATGAAAATTGTTTAGAGGTTGAACTGCAACAAAACATTCTTATTGTTTGATAAAACTGTTTCAAACTACTGAACTTAGAAAAAACTTCACTCTCATAATATTTTACCGATGTAGAAAGTGCCGGCCCCAGCCTCCATGAGGCCCTAAGCTAAATTTAGTTTGGGGCCCTTTATTTCTGCTAATAATGTGGATTACTGCAATCAACAGTCAGATGATCAGATCATTCTCCCACCTAACAAACTCATTGCAACTCTTCAAAAACGCAAACAAACTAACAAACAAAACACCAGTATGTAATGTATTTTACAGCAAAAGTGTGCTCTGGTTTATTATCTTTGGTTTCAAAAAACTGCAAGAGTAATGTTCAAAATAATTTGCACTGCAAGATCAACAACAAACAAATAAAATAACTTGGATGCATAAAAAAATAAATTGTGCAAAAAGAGACTAAATTAAATAACTCAATATCAAAGAAATACTTAATGTAAATGAACAATTACTTGAAACCACATACAATTGTTTAAAAAAGAAATTTAAAGTTGAAAAATTTGTTTTTAAAATATGTAAACTTACCGGGTGTGCAACAATTTGCAAAAGCTGAACTTAAAATATTAAATTGAATCATATAGAATCATTGCTATGTCACGTCAAGGGCCCTCCCTCCCATTTTTCTTAAAGAGACCTCGCTCCCCCACTATCACGAATCCTTCGGTTTAAACAGCCTTATACTTCCATCCGGTGGTCAAAAAAGATACTACACAGAAATTAACCTACATTTCTTCTTAAATTTCACAATAATTAGTAATTATTGTCAAATTTCAAACAATATTATCGTTTATCGCAATAATTTCTGAGACAATTAATTGCCCAGCAAAATATTTTATCGTGACAGGCCTAAGCATTACTAAAAATAAAATAAAAATCAATTCCAATTCGGGGACCCTCTATTGGGCCCCGGTGCCCTAAGCAGCCGCTTGCTTATGCCTTTTGCCAGCCCTGTATGTAGGATCAGTGACGATTCAATAAAAAGCATGAGCCAAACTGTCCTAATTATGACAAAAAATACCAGGACAACTTTTACCAACTCTGCTTTCTTTTCATTTGCTTTTCAAAAGTCCACTTGATTGATCATATTGTCTTCGATGATAAAGTAAAGAATAAAATAAAGCACTGGAAAGAGAGGAGGTCACTGTGGTTGGCTTATTCAAGTTCACAAGCAACTTCCAAGCCATCAAAGCAATGCAAAACAATTAAAATAATGATTTGAATAACAAGAAACACAAAGCTACCTGTGTGGTGAACAGTACAAATAGCACTGCATCTATCGGGTCAAACGCCACAAAAGGGAAAGAAAAACAAAGAGCAGGAGATTAAATTTGCTTCAGGGACATAAATTAATTAAAAATGTAGGCAAGGTTTCAGGGAAAATCGTTTATGCAAAAGCTTATTCATAGAAATTCAAACGTGCACATTCACCTGGACACATTTTCCATGTGAACATAAAGTAGAGAGGAGCTAATGAATGTGTAGACCATAATCTATATCTATGGAAATATTCTGTCTTTCAGAATACACAAACAAAATGAAGAAAATGGAATGACAATGCAAAACAAAACCATATACATGCTAGACAGAGGCTTTGCATATACAAAGCATTATTTCCTCCCGTGACTGAACTGTAAGTGCATTCAATTTTGAGCTTTTACCCGACTATCCTTCTCCTCTTCATTGTTCAATAAGGCCTGGGTCTGGCGTTGTCGTCATTTTGTAACACAAAAATGACCCTTTCAATTATGATGTTAGCGGAGGCAGCTGATGATTGTAGTATCCATCATTCTTAATAACCCTCTTTTTTTTCTTTTTTTTTTCCAGAGTAGGGCAATTTCTAGAAAGGAAAGGAAATGGCATGAATGATAATGAACTATTACCCAAAATAGGAAAATAAAGAAAACGGTCTTACAAGAGAGACAAAAAAAATAAAAATCCATTATGTCAAATTTTGTACCTTTTAGCACAAAGAGCGCTGATGTCAATGCTGTATTGTTTTCCCCTTTAGTGTCTTTTAAATTGCATTGCATTCATTGAATCAACAGAAACATATTTTGAATGGGGAATATGGTGCTTATTAGCTGTCAGATCCTCCTCCAGTGACTTACATGGAGGAGCATGGACGAAGTTTGCGTACCAGAGAGGCAGGCGGCCTTATTGTTAGCAGCACAGGAGCAGCCAGTGAATTTAAAACAAGATTGGGGGTTAAACATGTATGAATGAAAAATACTGGCCAGGCCACACAACTATGTCACAGATGCAAATGAAAGAAACATCAAGTGTGTAAAAGAAAAACACCACCATTATTTTAACTGCATAAATGGGTTTACTGTACTTCAACAAGTACACATGCATGCACTGTATGCACTGCACCAAGAAAACCCAAACACTGTACTAATATTAAAGGTTTGGGGAAAAACTTTGGACCACTAGAAGATGCAGCAGCAGATGTTTAGTTTTCACCTTGTTCATATTTTGCCTGATTAAATGTGTGACTTTAAATGGCACTACAACAAGGAGACAGGAAGTGATCACACACTCCCATTTTGCAGCAGAGCACAGGACAAGTTTGCAGAGTGAGCACCAAGACGGTGACCTTTACTACTGCGAGGATGGTTTTTGTCTGCAAACATGTTTTCTGAGTCGGTATTCAAGCTGCTCTTCCCACAGGGAACAAGCTGCTGATCACGATGCTGCTGTTCCGTTCATCACCAGACCACTTGGTTTGGGGGAAATATAATAGATCTAAGTTTGTCTTTGCAGAGTTATGTCTTACAAATAGGTCATGATGACAAGTTCAGAGATTAAACCTATTCTATTGATGTAGTGCTTAACTTCATATACTTGCATCTCAATCAGTTAAATATACATTCAGTGAGTATAATTTATTAAATAAATGAATAATAAACAAAAAATCAGGCCAATAACAAATCAAGGCGTTGTTTACATTGCCTTGATTATGTTGCCTACAATTCTTGTTTTTTCCTACTGTTTATTTGTTTATTTATTTGCTTTTCAAACAGCACAACAAGCAATAAACCAAACTTAACCTAAATTTGCTTGAATTTTATAGTCCAATGTCCATCTAAATATATTCCATCCATTCAGCCATTATCTTTACCCGCTTCTTCCATTTTGGGTCACGGGGGTCGCCGGTGCCCATGTCCAGCAATCATTGTGAGAGGGGCGGGGTACACCCTGGACAGGTCTCCAGTCCATCACAGGGACACATAGAGACAAACAACCATTCACTCTCTCACTCACAACTAGGGACAATTTAGAGTTACCAATCAGCCTAACATGCATGTTTTTGGTCTGTGGGAGGAAACCGGAGTACCCGGAGAAAACACACGCATACAGAGAGAGAACATGCAAACTCCACCCAGAAAGGTCCCCAGACCAGGATATGAACTGGGGACCTGCTCGCTGAGAGGCAGCAGCTCTACCAGTTGCGCCACCATGCTGCCCTACACCAATCATGTCAAATGTTAATATTTACAGCGCTTTATGTGAAGTCTCAGACTGTGATGAGCAGAACTTGAAATTAGATTACTATTAATAGGAGAAAAGTGGAATAAAACAAGAGCTGCCTAAAGAAAAATATTGAAACCAGCCGGCCTAGAAGGAATGCAGGCCAACATTTTAATCAAACATCTTAAATGACTAGTTATTGTTTGTAGTATGTGTTTGGGACGACTCTCAGCTACAAGTATTCCAAATTTTACCTCTGTATCTGTAAAAATGGCTGTAATAGACAATTTTGTGTTCCCCCAAAACTGATTGGTTGTGGTAACCAGGCTGACGTACACCTAAATGTATACTTTCAATGATTACCTGAGAGTTTCATTAAACTTCTTCCAGTGGTCCATGATATTTTGCTAACAGTCTGATATCATGCATCAACACACACAATTGCAGCCAGTTACCTGCAAGAAAAGAGGGGTTACTGTATTTTTTTTGGTCTATAAGGCGCACTTAACATCCTTAACATCCAACAGTGAGTCTTATAATCCGGTGCGCCTTATAATCCAAAAAAATATGGTATGTATTTATTTCCTTAGTTAAAAAAAAAAAAAAAAAAAAAAAAAAAAACTTTGACAGGAAGAGCATTATTGTCAGTTTTTGTATTCAGTAAATATGTGCTTGTGTTCATTTGTGTGTGGTTTATCTCCCTTTGGGTTCAGGAGTGAAAGAAAGGCTCATCTAACAATGTAAGTCTGGTGACAGCTGTTGACATTCAAAACATCAGCCAGAAATTCACTGCTGGGTATCTCAACATTATCTGTGGGGACATTTATGCAGAAACACCAAATATATTTGAGTTTCCAACAATTTATTGCTTTTATTTGTGGATCCCCTCAGAAAGTAATCATTTCAAAAGGTAAAATGAGAGCTGAGTCGTTTCTGCAGATGACTCAGGGGGTGATAGTTGCATTGCCCTGTTGAGATAAGATCCTTCTAGGTTGATGCCACATCTGTGAATAATGCATTAGAGATAATGACCCCTCCCTGACCAAGAGATGGACAGAAATATCACTGACGTCATCCTGGAACCTCATGGCTTCAGACGACACAAAGAGAGGATATTAAGCCTGCAGTGCATCTGAGGGATCAGCTACACCTCTCAGTCTGCCCGTCTCTCTGTCGGAGGGGTGCATCTGTGTCACACTCTCTTTTTCTCTTGTCTTTTCAGGGTGACGTGACAGGCATCTGTGAGCACCGGGGAACAGAGAGGAAAGACTACTCACAGTGATGAAAAATGAATCCAGAAGCTGAAAATGTAATTTACATGACTGGGGTTTCTACTGCCCTGCCATCTGTCAAAGCAGCGGATTTGATCCATTGTGTAATAAACATTAATTCATTTTTGTGAATGTCGATTAGCAGCAGCACCATCTTCATCAGACTTCCCCCCTCTGCTTGTGTTTTTGTCATCATTTTGTCATCAGATATTGTATGAACGGTACGTAATAATTAGGGATTTGGTAAACTTTTCTGAGCAAGCTGTAGTGAACCTGGTCTGACCCTTATCTGACCTCAAATCTACCAGATGGACAGAGACTGTTATTTTCATTAATCTGAATAAGTCTGGGCCATCTGATGACTTTCTTTCTTGAATTAATCAAGCAGAAAAGACAATTCTTTATAATCATTACTGTCTTACAAATGTTTTGATAATCAAATTGTGTTAGTTCACTCAATGCTTTACAGGTTGAAAAGAACTACTCATTTTTATTTTACATAAACAGTAAGTAATGATTTTTATTCCTCATTCAAAGAAGAAATCACCTGAATATGCATTTCTTGATTTTCTGTCTGAAATGAGCAAGCTGTCGTAAGTATGTGAAAGGTTGGTTTTCGGTCAACTAAATGTTTACTGAAGAAGAAATGTCATGTTTTACTATTTGAAAAGATTACCAAGTGTGAGACTCCACGAAGTCTGGTCGACTGCAATAATCTTTTCTGTATGTTGAAAACAATCCTTGACTTTTGATAATAACTTACGTCAAAAAACCACTCCTCTTTCTGGTCCATCCACGAATCAGAAAGCTCTGAAGTAAACTCGGAAGTAAACTCATTTAAAATGTGACAACTTCCCGGTTCTATGAGTCGAGTCTAGAGTGCAGTCGGTTCCAAAGAGTGCAGTAGATTCCATGGAGAATGGAAAAGTTCTGAAGGAGTTCAGAAGAGAACTAGAGTTATGGAGAGTTTTGGAGTTGCCGAGAATCCAGAGACGTTTGGAATTATAATTTCTGTTTGAGCTAACCACGCACGACTCTCTAAGGATTTTAGCAGTCCTCAACGGAGACGCTGATATCAGTTGAAAAGGATTCTTACTGAGGTGATCGATCATCAACAAGGTAAAACTTCTTCTTCGACCAAGTGTACCGTGGGCAAAGCTGAGATCTGACGGAGCGTGCAACTTCTGGTCAAACAGATTAAATTCCCTCACATAGTTCTCTGTAAGATAATCTCCTTTCATCTTAAACTCTTCTCTCTCACAAAATCAGTACAGATATTTTAGAAATATCTGAAGCAAAGTCCTCAAATCACCGCCGAGTGATTTGAAGTTCATTATTTGTGAAACTGTCTGTTATTATTTTCATATTTTGCCAAATTAATGTAAATGTTTGATGTTAAACTTTGATTCTGAAAATAAATGACTCCATTCATTTGATGGGTCAAAGATAATAACGTCTCTCGTTCACATTTCTGTTAAATTCAATGCACGGCATTTACAGTCAGAAAAATGAAGAACTCGTGAAAAGTATGCATAAATATATACCCCGTATATTTGTCATACAACAAGTGACACGTACCCACGTGACTCACTACAAAGCTGAAGAAATAAAACCCACTGGCGTTTTATTTATTCGTTCATTTATTTCATGCCATCCTGCATATCATCTGTAGGTTTCCACGCAGTCAGACTCGCAGCTGAGCTTCAAACTCAAGACAGTATCTGGGCGTTAACCTCTCAGTCAGACAACTACATGGGCTTCTTGCAGATGGCTCCATATCATCGTCACCAACATCGACTTTTGCTTCGACAGAAACTGGACACAGTGGACGTCTCCAGAAAGTTAAAATAAACAAACGTCTGTTTTTAACTCTGTATCTCAGATGTGGTTTTTCAGTCTGTCAAAACCAAATTGTTTATTCTCAATCTTGATTTAATAAAACAAACCATGCTCCTTTCGTGCCTGTGTAGCTATTAATTTATTTAGTTATTTAGCCTTTACAGTAGTTCCCCGCTACAAATGATTGTCAAATTTAATATTACTCACATGATTGGGACTGTACATGATAAAGTAAGAAAAAAAAAAAACTTTGGACAGGTGCCGCCATTTTGTAATTTTCTTTCAATACCTCTGGGGTGTCCTTGAACACCCTCACCGCTCTTGACATCTCCCCTCCCCTGCAGAATGTCTGTGCTTTTGTGCGGGGTGTTTTTTTCAGTTTCAGGCTATCTGTCCTCAGCCATGGATTGAGAGTCTGTTAGGATTTTTTTTTTGCCTCCAAATCCTACTTAATGTCATTTTCATTACTTTTTTGTCTGTCGAAACAGGTCTCACTTGTAAATGAGTCCCCGAGGCTGAATGTGAGTAATCTGTCTAAATAAAGTTTGATTTAATGAATAAGCCTATGCTGTAAGGCCAGTCAATTAAAAAAAACTGCACTACCCAGAAATCAACAGTGCACTTCCCAGGAGCCAACAGTGCTTTCGGCTGCTGCTTTCTTGTAGTTTTCTTTCAATAAATCTACTCTTTATCACCAGTCAAAAGAACTATGTTACCCAGAAGCCAACAGTGCTTCCAGTCGCTGCTTTCTGTTGAAACGAAGGAAACGTTAGCAAATCTTCACTATCAATTAAGCTCACCGAACTGGCAGGAAAGTCACAAATAATCCTGAAACTGAACTCCTCTTTGAAGTTGTATCTTCACTGGTCAGGTTGCAGTTGATCCAGACTCGGTGTGACCCGGATCCTGTGGGCTGCAGGGGACAGAGAGCGGCGGGGTTCAGCCTGGTTTTGGTCGCGTGGTGCTGGTCTGGACCAGGTCGAGGTTGTGGACTACATCATGGACAGCCTTGCACGTAGAGTGTCCTTCCTGGAGCAGCAGCACGAATATCAACTTGGACAGGGCAGTGGGATTTGTCATGCTGCAGGGTATAGCCGAACGGCACAAAGCCCGAATGGAACCGAGCTTCTGCAGAGCTGCTGAGTACGGTACGCAGATAAAGTTTTTCAGTATGCTGTGCAGTACATTTACATATGTTATCCTGATGCATGCTCAATAATCCAGGTAGAAAAATCTAAAAAAGTTAAATCTGGTCCTCTGGACATTCCAAAAAAACAAAACAAAACAAAAAAAAGTGTAGAAACGTTTCGTCTTTCATCCGAAAGACTTCCTCAGTCTGAGGTGCTGTATTCAGCTCAGTCTTATAAATAGCACCCTACTGATGATGATTTCGGATGAAAGACGAAACGTTTCTACAACTTTTTTTGTTTTGTTTTGTTTTTTGGAATGTCCAGAGGACCAGATTTAATTATTTTAGATTTACGTATGTTGTTAAAATTACGTCGATTTAAGAGTTTAGAACATTGCAAGAGTGTGGGGAGGGTTTATAAAGCCTTAAAATATATACTAAAATAAATATAACATTACTACTTTGTGACTTTTCACTTAGCGCGGGGGTCTCTGGAACGTAATCCCCACAATATATGAGGGACTACTGTAGTCTTATTCTTATGTATTGAATGGTTTGTTACAAAGGAAACATGGGTGTTATCATTTACCGTTGTTTCAAGTTTAGCTTTTATCAAGCAAGTGAACCTTTTCTTCACACATGATCGACAGTGTTTTCAACATTTTCTCTTTTCTATATGAATTTATTTTAATTCCATTATACTGTACATCAGTGCAATGAATAATTAGAAGTGTAAAATGATGTCAACAGATCACAGATTAGAGGAAGTGCATTACTTCGTTGTGGACCAACTAAAGTTTGTTGAGGAACTTAAGATAAAACATTTTGTTCCCAGATGACAAAGAGGATCCTCACATATTCTGAAAGCACCATTTCAGCAGAACAGGTAGGTAGTTCCTAGATGTCTCTATTTTCTTTATTAAAGTGCATTTTTTGTTCAGTTACCTTGATAAATGTCTCTTTTCCAATTTTTTTTAAAAGAATGTTTAAATAAAAAAGAAATATTTCTACTAATTATGTGTGAAGAGCTGAAGTAGGCTACAATAACCTGGGGAGTTTGACTTGTGGGTCGGCGCGGATCAATTTAGCACGAACTGGCTTTATTCCAAGTAAGTGGCATCAAAGAAGGCGTTTTCAGTTTTATGCTTTGATCTTTTCTACAATCGTGTTGCCAGTGCTTTTGACAAACCAAACAGTTTGTAAAATCAAGACAAAACACAAAGTACAATTTATTTATTTATTTGGATTAAATGAGAACCGTGGGAGGCAAACGTACTGAACAGGAAGCGGAAGGATGGCCTTTACACACAAAGATACCAGATCTCATTCAGGTGTTCTTAAAATAAGTCATTGTGTGGATGTTTATGAAAAATGCACACTATTATGACACATTTTTCTTGTGTACATTTTTTTGGCTTTTTTTTTTCTCATTCCACAAGTTTTGTGCTATTTCAACAAATCATATATTAAAACGTTCAGCTCTTCCAAGACAATCCTGCTTTAATGTTTGGTGTTGGTGCGACTTTAGCTTTTTGAAATATTTAGCCTTTTGTGACGTTTTTTCTCATAGAAAATGAATTGAGCTCATTTTACATTCTTCAGATCTTTAGATCTGTTTACAACCTTTTACTGTTCCTTTCACATTTTGTTCTGGTTCAGTTTTGCTCAGCTTCCTTGTGCAAATTTAAACTTGTTCAGCTACTTTCAGCTGTTGTGTGTTCCTTTCGGATTTGTTCTGCTATCTACAACATGTTTGCGCTTCTTCTAACTTCTCTCTGCTAATTTCAACTTGTTATGCTCCTGTAAACTTATTTCTGCAAGTTTCAGCCTTTTTTTTTTTTTTGCTATTTTAGAGTCAGTCAGAGTCAGCGATTCTTTATTGTCATTCCACCACATGTGGTACATGTGGTGGAACAAAATTATGTAAACAGGGTCCCAGTTACATCCAACAATAAAAATGTAAAAGAAAAACAAAGATAACATGTAAGATATGAACTAAGAAAAACATCAACTAAATATACACTGAG